GACAGGCTAAAGATTTTTTTCTAAAGGTTCAAGGCAAGGGAGAATGCTGCAGTAAATGTGAAAATCATAAAAATTTGACCCAAAATACAGAGTACACCATGGATCAGCATTAGGGATACAGTAGACTTCCAGTGGTATTACTGAGGTATACTGTATCATGTGTTGTTGTTTGTAACTAGGTTACAAACAACAACACATCATAACCTAGTTGACACCAAGCAACTAGGTTAAGGAAACAAAGTTGCTTGGTGTCATCTTAGACTGTAGATTGTCCTGGTCAAAGCAAATTGACAAGATTGTAAACCAAATGAGTAGAGGCCTTGCCTTACTTAGGCACTGCAGCACATACCTTACACCTGAATTAACCAAGAAGGTTATGGGTGCCTTGGTTTTAGCTCAGATGGAGTATTGTAACATCATATGGTCAAATGCCACAAAGAAACATCTGGGAAAACGTCAGCTGGTCCAGAACAAAGCAGCACGCCTTGCTCTCAAATGTCCATATAGAACAAACATCAACAGCGTGCATTCAAGTTTACGTTGACTTAAAGTTGAAGATAGGCTAAACACTTCTCTACTACTCTCAACCTGGTCAATTTTAAATAAAAAGACCCCACCAAATCAATATAATCTTTTCCATAAAAGTTGCTACTCCCACACCTATAGCACACAATATGCGGCGGAAGGACGTTTTGTAGTACCAAAGGCTGATACCAATTCACTTCAACGCACAGTTATATATAGAGCAATTACATCATGGAATGAGCTGCCCTCTTTTTTTAACAAAAATAAATATTAAATCTACTTTTAAAAAGCAAGTAAAGAATTACCTGGGTCAGATATACACCTAATCACTGCTATTATATCAATCCTTGTTAGTGGGTGCATTTGTAGTATTTTCTTTTTTACCCATCTTCTTTTAGTGTGTTTCACAATAATTGTGTTTTAATACTTATCCTTCTTATTTAAATAACTCATTTTTGTGTCTTTGGAGTTTTTTTTTTTTGATGTCTCTTGCAGTGTAATGTATTTTTTTATTTGATTATTATGATTCTTTACTTTTCGGACCCCAGGAAGAATAGCGGGGCTGTATAGCTCGGCTAATGGGGATCCTATAAACAATAAACAGTAAACTTAATGCACTGGAAATGAATACGTAACATCTGCATGCTTTTTGTTGTGCTGTGGTAGGCCTATACAGTAACAGAAATTTTAGCATATTGCTGTAATGAAACATATTGCAACATTTTAGAATTATTTGTTTTGTATTACAATATGTACTCTAAAGAGGTGTCATTCTTTTTTTCTTTTTTTTAAAATGCAACACTACAGTAATCTATGCTAAAACAGAGGATACAGCAACACATAATCTATGCATTTTGCAATGCTTCAAGGTGTTTCTGTTTTTCAGTCCATTGTACTTTGAGTGACAAAGTAGTCTGCTGGGTGAGAGCATTTGCTATAGTTATGGTAGCACAAGTCACTTTTGGGTGAATTATGAAGTGTTTTGGTGGTTGTAGTGCATTTTGCACGAAAGATTAACTGATGTGCTCATATGCATGGTTGTTAAGCACACAGTGTTAAGAGTTTTGAAAAAGTGGCCATGGTATTGACCTAAGTGTGAAAACGGTTGTAAAAAACTGTAACTGCAACTGATTGTAAATACAGTACAGAGTGCTTATTTAAATCACCGGAATTAGAGCTACATTGAATGCTCTCATCGTTGTAACCCTCATGGCTCGGATGGCTCAGAAAAGACCCAGGTCTTCACACCAAAGGGAAACTAATACATGCTGTTCAGGGGCTGTGTGTGTGCGTCTGTGTATGTCTGTGTCTGTTGTGCGCATGCATGCAGTTGTCCACGAGTGTGAGTTTGCTCATAAGTGCATGTGTGCAAGGCTCTGTGTGTGTGTGTGTGTGTGTAAATGTGTGTGTGGGTGTGTGTGTGAGTGTTTCTGTTTTGTGGGGACAGGTCATGACCTCTGGAAAAGACGCTCTCCTCCTTCAAAGCTCAGCCCGAATGAGCTTCAAGTGTCTGGAGGAGATAGACACTTAAATGCCTGTCAGCAGATTGTCAGGCTGTGATCATAACCAGCCAGATACGGTTCCCATGGGTTACTGGGAAAAAAAAAAAAAAAAACAGTCTGACTGGTGTGGACACAGGTCTATACTTACTGGACTGGTTACTGCATACATCCATTGAAAGAAGCAAGCTGTTACCCACATTGCATGGAAATGATTATTCCTATGTCTGGGCCTGTCTCTATGTTCACTTTCAGGACAGCCTATTAGACATGAAGATATAACTCTCTTTCAGTCCAGTCATTGTATATCTTTAGGGGAACATGCCAAATATGTCATCTTGAACTAATCAGTCTTTTTAAGAGTCCTACATTGCCCTATTAATGTTATTAAAATGTCATTAAAATGCCACCATTGTTTTTATGTTGTGCCTCCTTCCGAAAGGACCTAACTGCACGTCTGTTTACTTTCAAAAATG